AATAAACTATGAAGAATATTTAAAACAAACTAAATAATTATAGTTTATACTGAAATTCATCTAAATTAAGAACGATTGATGACAAGCAGTCTTCACTCGAATTATTTTATAGCTCAATTTTTTTATGTAAAAAGTTGGCAAACGAGGACTCAGTTGATATGATGGAAAGTGACTACCGCCGCCCACATCTACAACACCTACGCCCGGTTTCTGAAACACTGATCAACGTAGATGTCAACTAATCAGCTGTCAAATGAGTTTCAAATTTCATTTTAGTTGGCCAAAAGGATGTTTAAACTCTTTGAATTGATCATTCTGATCATAAAGAAGATCATTCTGGTCAATTCAGAGAGTTTAACCATCCTTTTGGTACCTAAATTGTAATTTGAATTCCATTTGACAGCTGATTAGTTGACATCTACGATGATCAGTGTTTCAGAAACCGGGCGCTAGTGTGTTGCAGGCGCCTCGTCAACCTATTTAAAACTGGGCCCCGATTACACTCATCAGACGGAAAGCGAAAGTATAATACTTCCACTTTACGCTGGTCCACTGCAAGGCCATGGAACATCCCCGACTGTCGATTTGTGCAACAGCGGAGGCTGCTGTGTGGTTCTACACAGATTTAAAAATTCATCGATTGATCAACTCGATTGATCAAAGAATTAGATAGCTTCTCAGATAAACTTCACCGGGAGTACATGTGAGCACGAACCGGCCCGACTATAATCCCACCCACGAAAGTGACAACGTTGGCCAAGAAGATAAATTCACTGATCGTTTAGACATTAATCAGTCTCACTTTGTGGGCGCACTTTCATTACGTCCACTAAACATATGACGGGAGACGTTATGCATTTAGGGAGGGACACATGAACCGTGGTGTGTATCGGCCGATAGAAAGCGTATTTCTACGGGATGGCAAGCAAGTAGGCCGTTCACTAGATACAGAGTTATTTACGCCGACCGCAGCATTTATAACTCATGGGGTTGCACGGTACAGTCGTGATAGTACAGTGTCTCAAATATACTCGAGCAACCTGAGTTCTAAAATATTTCGAAGAAATGCCAAGTCCAGGAATTCGCCGCGGAGTCGCGTGGGGTATCCTCTGTGCAGAGGAGGCCTTTGCTCAGCATTGGGACATATATAGGCTGCTACTATTGCTAGTTAATGGTGCTCTTTTTAAAGGGCGAGCGACGGTTATCCTACTATTACGAGAAAAGTACAGGCATAAGTATATATACTTCTATAAAAAAGATTAAATGCGACTGAAAGGCGGAATGGAAAATCGTCAACGTATATCGATCGGCCGCATGATATCTACGCCAGGTGTCCCAGCCCGCATTCAACAGCAGAAACTATAGTTGCATTCTCCTCACGTATTGGCTTAGAATTAAATTTTCCCTCTAACTATACCACCATGCTAGGTAGATTTACGCAGTATTAATGGCGTTACATGGAGCTAGTTGAGTTTTGAATGTAATTCAAGATAATCTACTGAGGATAAGGCAATCCTGGGCTTTAGAGGTGTTCAACAAACACAAATTAAATAGCGTCAAACACCCGAAAAATATGCAGGTTATACAAATTGTCTCGAGTGGCAACCTCCCATCACATAGCATTTCGAGGTCTAAATCTATCACCTATCCTGTATCTAGTAGGCAGGTTCACCTGTGCAGCAATACACCCACAACGTAGAAATTAAGTAATCGAATAATAACTATAACTAACGGTGCGACAGCCGAGGCTGCTGCATGCAGCAGCCTCGGCTGTCGCACGAATGGGTATGCCCGTCCGGGTAAGTGCCACGACCTCACAGAACACCAGCGTAAAGAGGAAGTATGACAATTACTTTCGCGTTTCGTCTGGTGAGTGAGGTAGCCGGAGCGCAATTTTCAAAAGGTTGTCAACGCATTTGAAACCCTCGGGTGTGGCAGATGTTCATGGGCGGCGGTATTCACTTAACATCAGGTGAACCGTCTGCTCGTATGACAACATTTCGCATAAAAAAAAAATAGAATAATTCGATAAACACTTGAGTTTTCACATCATTTTCTTTATATGGATTTGAAATTCAAGTGTTTAATCATCCTTTTGACAACTCAATTCACATTGAACAAGCCATTTTACAACTGGTAAGTTAATCTCTACGTTGATCAGTCTTTCAGAAACCGGGTCTTTCAGAGACTCGGCAGAAGACCGGTGTGAAAAATATGTTCTATAAAATACTTCAGCATAGCGTTTGGTAATGGAGCCAACCGGAGCCAACTCTCTTTAAGTTGGACCCAACTGCATTTTGACTAGTTTGCTGTTATCATTCCTACGTGGATACTGCGTGATAGCTTATTGTCCAGGCGCTCGTTTCGTAATTCAATATACTAGAGCAAATAATGTTTCAATCCACAGTAGGGTCGTGTGGTGGACTATAATAAATTTCACGTGGACAAACATCCAGATGCGAAACAACTATCTGTGGTTCACAAAATAGTTGTCCCGTGTGGGAATCGAACCCACGACCCTTGACACCGAAGGGAATACCTTGGCAACTTGCGCCACGGAGTCTTCTTCTTAATCTGAACTTTTTACTTATACATTACTTTTAATTATCTTCACATATGTGTTGTCATTGTGTGTAGTGTTGTCGAGTTGTCGAGTGTTGTCGAACCCGGGCGAAATTTAACAATTCAAATTTTTATTTTTTATTGTTAGAAAAAGGTACTCATTCGCGACGTTAGTCTTCAGTTAAACGTTCTTCAATATTAAGTCGGGCATGACGCGCCAACTCGATAAATTCGGAATCGATAGCCCCCTAATTAAACGCCCCGCGAAACAGGATACAGATAAATGTAATCAGCAAACTAAACGAACCGGAAACAGAAAGTAGCGGGACCTTGAGCAGTAAATAGACTTAGAATCGTTGTAATTTGGAAACGCTGGCGGCCGCACTCGGAGACGTTAATTAGCTCTTAACTAGCATTAAATATATATCGAGAAAATGGCGCCTCGAAACATTACGCTTCAGCATTCTCGGCGACGCGGTTGCTGGACTATTGGCTACGGTGCCGAGGGTCGTGGACTCGTGTTTGTGTGGGAATTTGACACTCCTAAGATTGAAATAGTACAAGTTTGCTATTAGTTCTCTATTAAACATTTTTCCTACTGGGGGTAGGCAGCGTCTGAACACTGAAAAATTTAAATTGCCCTTGTTATTCTCCGCGATGATTCGGACCACCCGGCGGCGGCGGGGTTTGATTCCCGCGCGGGGCCTTAATTCGTGTGTCCCACAGATAGTTGTTCCAGACCCGAGTGTTTGTTCCCAAGGTGAATTGACGTCAGGCGAGCGGCTGGTCGTTAAAAACCAATACCATTGACAACATAATTCAGAAGTTTTGCCGACCCTAACTTCTGGATGAAGGGCAGGAGAATTCCGTCAGGTGAGTGAGGTAACCGGTGCTACCCGTTATTGCTGTATGCCGTTGTTGTGGATGGTCATGGGTGGTGGGTTGTGTGATGATCACTTACCCTCATAGTTCGTAATCTCACAACAACATCGCTTTGTCTATACCTTTCTTAAGTAAACTGGATAGTTTTCGAATGCTTTCCAACGGGTATTGTGTCTAGACCGGTCTAGACAAACGCGCGGTTTGTAAACACAAGTTTTCTAAGAAGGTAGTGTTGCAGTTGTCGTTAGTTGTTTTTATATAATGTACAAGTAATGTCTACGTGCATCTACTACGAGGTTCTAACTGCTCTACCTTTATTGGAAGAATAAATTATAAAGTAAGGTCTTAAGAATCACAAATGTGTATATTTCAATGTAGACTTTGGCTCACCGAAACGAAAGTAAAAAGAAAATAAAGTAACAGCCTATGTATATCGCACTGCTGGGCAAAGGCATCCTCTCTACAGAGCTTATTAGGGCACAGTCCATCACGCGATCCCATTGCGGATCGGCGGACTTCACATATCTTAGAAAGAACAAGTTATTACGAATATATGCCGGTTTCCTCACGATTGTTTTCCTTCACCGCTAAGCACGTGATGAACAATTTCATTGGTACATATACCGGTATTCGAACTCACATCGATCAAGTATATTGAATTAAAAGCGAGCGTCCGGAAACTGAGCTAACGCAGACCGAGTCGAATTTAAACACAATTATGAAAGCCCCTAATACGTTAATCAAACTTTTCATGTAGTACTCAGGACGCGCTTAGAGCAAACAATTCCTCTAACAGCCTGTACCTTCAAGATACCCGACCACAACCTGTAGAGATTCCTGTCTATTTAGTCTAATAGCGAGCAGTTTTAGATATATCGCAAACTTATTTCTTATATACATAGTATACCCAAAGGTACGAAATTTGCCACAGTCACGTATGTGTGTACATTTCTCAACTGTGGTAGGGTCCTGCAACGGGCGTTGTACGAATGGGCAGGTCCATCCGGGAGAGCACCACGACCGCACAGCAAACCGGCGTCAAGTGACATGTTACACTTCTGCGTTTCATCTGGTGAGCGAAGTAACAGGGTCCTACTTTATTAACAGCTGGTAACACTGCAACATCTGCAACACTAGGGGTTTCGCAAATTTTCCTCGATCGATCCGTACTGAGGCAGCATAAAAACAATGGCATCCAGAAGCTCTCTTGGAAGCAATAACGATACGAAACCTCTTTCGTGTACGCCGATCTCGAGAACCGGTCCGGTGACCGATACCGAGAAGACGAGATCATTCTGGATTAAAACTCGTATAAGACCGAGGCATGTGGTCTTGAGATCCTATCGGGTCGGTATTGGATTTTGATACAACGAACTTTAGCCTAGCCATTTTAGAGAAGTCGTGTGCCTCGAAACCTCGGTGTCAGGAATTTAACTAATTACACTGAAGTAACCAGAGTTTAAACGCCGATGTCGGTGCAAATGGCCGTTAAATTGGTGATTCCCGTTTCGAGATACGACTTACAAAGCGAGAAAGGAAGATAAAGAAATGATGAAATGTTCCAATTGTTTCAAAATAAGTTGGGTTTCATCACCCAAACTGTAGAAGAACAGCGTCTGCTGTCATGTGAATTGACCGACACGTCCGAAGAAGTACCACGACTGCAGAGGACCAGCAAGCCAATACCTTTGCGTTTTAAGGTAAGCAGGGCTCATTATTAAGGCAACGCGTCTGCAATCCCCATGGTTGTTGTGGTGATGACTGACATCAGGCGAATTGCCAGTCCACTCCCCGCTTCCTCTCATAAAAAAAATTGCCAAACGCGATTCGGACTTGCGCACGAAGGGTTATTATCTATGAAAACGGCAAAAAAATCATTTCTGTTTTATGGGAGCCCAACTTAAATATTTTTTTATTCGGTTTTTTAGTATTTGTTGTTATCGTAGCAACAGAAATATATCTATCACGGTTCATGAGATACAGCCTGGTGACAGACGTACACACAAACAGACAGACAGACAAACAGCGGAGTCTTAGTAACATGCAAGATATTTATGGACATTAGTAAAGTCGTAGAGTTCGCGATTATCGAAAAAAAAGTTACAAATGGTATTAACGCGACACGCTGATAGTCTTCCTCATATTATATATATTCTCTGCGGCGTCCATTTTGAAAACGCGCGCGGGCGGTGACAGTTAGCAAGCCCCACGTCTTGCTGTTTGAACAGTTGGCACTGTTGGCACGGTCGGGGCAACGACACCGATCTCATGGTGCCTCAAAATGATACCGCATGGATGTCACGAGCTCTGAGGCGGTTCGGAACCAAGTTCATATGAGAGTGTACCGATTCAAGTCAACTTGCATAAGTGGTAATCAGCAACGCGTACACAAGGTACACTCGCGTTCCAGGGCGGTTGTCACCGCCCCAGCCACCGATTAGCTAATTGCACAGTCGACGGCCATCGGGGTCCCGGTCCAAACCGCGACCTCGCTGGCCCTTAGATGACACACCATAGTTAAACGCACGCATGAGCACATGCGCGGCCCTACCCACAGCGGAGGGCCAAACCCGTGGGTTCTGACTAGCCCACCGGTTCTCTCGTCTCGGGAACGAAAGCACAAACATCAGTTAATACAAGATACAAGATGGTCATCAGCACCGAGTAGTTTTTTTTTTCTGAAAGTTGTCACGCAAACAAGCGGTTCACCTGATGTTAAGAGAGCACCAACGCCTATCTCTTGCGGATGCGTTGACAACATAACTCATCAGACGAAACGCGGTACCTTAATACTTCCACTTCACACGGGTCTTCTGTGAGGCCGTGGTACTTCACCGGACTCGTCTGCCCATTCATGCAACATTCGTGCAGAAGCTGTGAAAGTGGTGACAGGTTTTTAAGAGGACAAAAGACGCGACAAGCAGGCCGCAGACCGTATATCATGCTCTTTGGCCTCGAGTTAACCAATCTAACAAAACGCCAATGTGTCCACATGCCTGCATTTGACGGCCTTCAGCCTTGTAACAAAGCATATACACATACATGCGTGACTCTACCCGTAGAGTCTTAGCAAGCCAAGAACCGTTGCCATTCTAGAAGCTCTGTGTCCGATGAAGTATTCCATAGTCTGTGACAACGACGAAGACGCTCTCAAAAATGTCCATGTTAAACGTTTCACAACTGCGGCATGATTGAAAGGGAAAGAAGTAAATTTGTTTATGTATTGGAATTTATATGTGTTTAATAATAATAATTAATTAAAGTATTTATGTTTGTGTTAAGTCTATTTCTATACAAATGTACCTTTGCCTTTTTTGTTTTCTTTTATTTATTTTTCTTTAATTTATTTCGCGTATTTTGTTTTGCACCTGCGTCAAACTTTCTCTACTCCCAGGGTTGACTGGAAGAGAATACTTATAAGTATTAAGTTTGCCTTTGTTTAGCCTTAAGTTGAGGTGTAAACAATAAATTTTTAAATAAATAAATAAATTTGATAGATACATCAACTAAACGGGCGAATTTAAATTCCAAATGGTTGACGTAGCGGTGGTAAATGCGAGCTACGAAATTGTAATTGATCGTCAGTTATTACCATATAATACGGGTCAGGTCGTAGACCGGTGTCGTTCGACCTGCGGGTCTACTCGGTACGTGTGTAATTAATGCGAGGGGGAGCAGCGGTGCACCAATCGCCCGCAAGGCCCGGGTTCGATCCGCCAAAGACTAAAGCCGATTCCTTTGATTATAATGGCTCGCTTGGTGTCGGGAAGCTACGTACTTAAGCATCGCTTGGGGGTTCCTGTTTTAACGGGAGAATTGTCTGAATGACCTACAAACAATTGTCCTTTCTATTCCAGCGAAATCAATGCCTGTCTGTCTTTGCGCGAACGATATTCACTAACAGCTGGTGTCAATATTCTATCTACTAGCGATAATGATTTGGTTACTAGCGATAGGTATTTGACATGAGCTTCATAATAATTCAAAATTCTATCTCCAGTAACCACGTCTATCTGTAGATAGAATATTGAAATCGATCGAAAAAAAAGCAAAGTAACAGCCTATAAATGTCCCAATGCTGGGCAAAGGGCTCCTCTGAACAGAGGTTATTAGGGCGTAGTCCATGCGACCCCACTGCGAATTGGCGGATTTCACATATCTTCGAAATATCTTTTTTCTTTTCTTTTTTTTAAGATAATATGGTTAGAAAATTAACAATTTCATTGGTGCCGGCACCGGGAATTGAACTCGGGTTGCGAGCGAGCGAGCGAGCGATTAACAATGAGCTATCACGGCTTTTCAACACAGGATAGGGGCAGCCAACCGTGGAATGGATTTAGTTTAAAAACAATCATCGGTAAGCGAAGGATGTTTATAATAGTACTTGTCAAATTATCCAATCAACAAGTGGAAACTTTCACGACTATTACGCTTAACGCGGTATACAGCGACAGTACGCGTTAAGTGTAAGCGGTATGCAAGTAACAAGTAGGATACAATTTAAAAAACTAAAAAAACCCGTCTCCATTTATGTGTACTTTTTATTTTGATATACTCCGTGTCACTCTCACAGTAAATACGAATCTAACGACATCGCTCAAGGGCGCAGTCGGGTAATAATAATTGATTGTGTCAAGAATTTTTAATAATAATAATAATAATAATAATAATATCTTTATTCGCATAGACGCTTGCGCGTTCTTATGAAACGTCAAAATTTTACAAGTAATTAACACGTTCGTAAGTTACCACCGGTTCGGAAAGCAGTTTCTGTTGAGAAGAAACCGGCAAGAAACTCAACAGTTGCTCTTTTTCAAAAAATCAGTTTACAGTATAATAGTACAGGTACAATAGTCTTGTTTTAGCCTACGTGAGTATCAACAGTATTAACCACACACATTGGCGTCGTCAAGATATTCAGCAATAGTATAATAGGCTTTAGCCATAAGTGTACTTCTAATTTTTCGTTTAAATTCATCAAGTGGCAGACTTAACATCGACTGTGTTAATTTTGTGAAGAAGTGACAAGACTGACGAAGAAGTTATTTTGGAAGACATCAGATGCCGATTCCTTCTGTTCTAGATACATAAGTGTAAAGAAACAAATCTTATCACAGAAAATAGGAATTATTTTCATGTTCCACGCTAACCTCACATTTCATACGATAGAATTACATTTAATGCACAATGGAATAATTATTGAGAAGTAATTTAAATTTCAAAATAACTATAAACACTTGACAAGTTGGGTAACTCAGTGACATTTAAAACAATCTTTATATTATTAAAAGTTATTATTAAATAGTTTTCGACGGATGAAAGATAGTGAAAAACTTTATAAATAGGTTATTATAATATAAATAAATGCATTAATGGTAATGAGAATCCCAAAATATTTCTTAAAAAAGAAAAAAAAATATGTTTAATAATTTAATGTTTTGTGGAAAAAAAACTAACAAGAAAGAGGATACCTATGGACTTTCTTTCGCTGTTTCTTCTCCGTTAGAGGAACTTCATTTCGAAAAGGTGGTAGCTTTAAAAAAAAAATACTATCGATTTAATATCGAGTTTCTTATTTCGATGAATGAACGATTTGATTTGATTTCAGGACCGTGCTTCTCTCCAGCAGTGGACTCAAAAAGGATGAGACGGTGATGACGAAATGGTTATCGTCACAAATTCGATTCGAACCCGCATACGGCGGCATCGGACGCCAACCGCCGAGCGGGCGAAACGGACTAGACGCCGCTGTGGGAACACAGCCCGAACCCGACACCGCAGTCCACTCAGCGGGCACGCGTCAAAGGGGCCGCCGTTCGATTCCCGGAAACCGGTTGTTCGACGCGTCGCGACACACGACACGTGTATCTAGACTCGTCACCAAGCCGATGCAAACACGAAACTCGGAGAGCGAGTAAAAATTATCGATCGAAGGCGAAAGTAAATTTAGAAAACCTCTTCTTCTACCCGGCATTGATCCCGGCTATTGCCAGGGTCTGCCTGCCAACAGAATTTAGAAAAGCCATTTTTTTATTGACGAAAAACAAAACCGACTCTCAAATGTCTCGCTATGTATGCGTTTTATAATTGATTTCCAGGAGTTCCCCAAGTATCTCCGGAGCCCGAGATCCAATGCCAATGAAATTAACATATAGCTATCATAACATATAGCCCGATAGCTATCTTGTCATGCTTTTCTAAATTGTTCGAGTCCCTTGTTTGTCCTTTTTTAACAAACCACGTCGATGCATTACTATCCCCTCATCAACATGGTTTTCGCCCTAAATGTTCCACTGTAACCAACCTAACGTGTTTTGTGTCTGATTTATGCACCGAAATGGATCGAGGCCACGAAATTGATGCAATTTACACAGATTTTGCAAACGCCTTCGACAAAGTAAGTCATTCCACACTCATTAAAAAGCTCAAACATTTTGGTATTCAGGGATCCTTGTTAAATTGGTTCGAGCACTACCTCGCAAAAAGACTTCAAATAGTCTTTGTAAATGGATATCACTCAAATTCTTATTACGCTGTTTCTGGTGTTCCACAGGGATCTCATATTGGACCAATCCTATTCTTAATTTTTATGAATGACATTACAGCAGAAATATTCCATTGTAAATACCTCCTGTTCGCTGATGATTTAAAACTGTATAAAACTATTTATTCATTTAGTGATGTCAGCCAAATTCAAAAAGATTTAGATAGAGTAGATAATTGGTGTAAAATTAACGGGATGGAATTAATATTAACAAGTGCTTCCACATGCGTTTCACTAGAAAAAAGAAGCCAATCGAGTCTTCCTATGCAATTGACAGCAAATATTTAAAAAAGGTTACAGAAATAAAAGATCTTGGTGTTCTCATGGACAGACAACTCTCCTTTAGTGCTCATATAGACCATGTTGTTACAAAAACATCTCAACTCATCGGATTCTTAAGGCGGACCACTAGGGATTTTGAAAATCCATACACCAAGATTATATTATACAACGCATTAGTTCGAAGTCTTCTTGAGTATGCTTGCGTTATCTGGAGTCCATTTTATAGCGTCCACTCACAGAGAATTGAAAATATTCAACGTAAATTCACAAGGCATTTGGCATCAACAACAAAAGGGATTTCCCGTCGGTGCGATTATACTGAGCGGCTTCACTTTTTTAAGATGCACACTCTTAACAATCGTCGTAAAATGCATGACGTGGTTTTTCTGCACAAACTTTTAAATAACTCAATAAATTGCCCCAAGGCTCTTCAAAATATTTCACTAGCTGTACCTCACAAATTTCCACGCAAACCGATTACAAAAATCTTTTATACACCGACCGTAAAAACTAATCTTGGCCTCAATTCACCTTTTGTAAGAATGTGCAAAGAATTTAATATACTTTTTAACCGTGCTGAATATATCGATATTTTTAACGATTCCCCTTATGTTTACAAAAAGAAAGTACTGGAGTCATTTCATTAGTATATATTATAGTATAGTATTCTTCAAAGTGATTTTTTTTTTTAAATTTATTTTTGATTCTTTATTGTTAGTCTATTCTTTGTATTTAATTTTTTATGAATTACTTTTTTTTTGTTTACTAAACTTTGTCACAATATTGTAAATGATGTACACACCTGTTATAGGTGTACATATTAGGTCCAGTTTCTTTTTTAAAATTTTTCCTTTTTTTGTAAGTTGTGTAAATATGTATACTGTTGGTGTGTCTTAAATGAAATAAAAAAAAAAAAAAAAAAACATGGGACCATATGGGGAACACCGGCTTACAAATAAAAAAAAGAATCATCAAAATCGGTACACTCGGTCGAAATTTCTGAGGTAACAAACATTAAAAAAAAATACAGTCGAATTAAGAACCTCCTCCTTTTTTGAAGTCGGCTGAAAAGTAGTCTTGGCAATGCTTAATTGGAACGCAGCTGAAGGCAGAAACGTTTTTTGTTTTAATGTGAAAAGTCGTCAAGAGAAAAAGCGGTTCGTTTCATGTTAAATGAACACATGGACATCCAAGACACCCGTGGACAACATTTGAAAAAGTGGGCCCAGATTACCTCACTCACCAGGCGAAACGTAGAAATTTAATACTTCTACTTTAATACTTTACTTCGGTCCTCTTGAGGCCGTAGTACTATCGCAATATTCCCTTCCTATATTTTAACGCATCAGCGATATCGCTTTCCGATGTACGCAATACGTAGACAGAATAGTAAGATCCTTGGCCTGAAAACGAGCGATTAAAAAAAAAAGAAAACATAAAAAGGCACTTACAAATTATCTGTCGCGAAAGCACGATTGCCGGGTCGTGTCGTGTGGCCGCGTCGTAAACGGACGAGCGTTAAAAACGCGCGAATTATCGGAAGCCATCCGCCGATGCGCACAGATAAAAAAGCCGATAAATGGCGCGCGAACGTCGCGGTTTCCCGCCATTTTTACTGTCACGGCCCGCCTTATCTGCGACGAAAGTCGCCGTTCCGCCTAGTTCGTGCAGCCGGGGTCGTTAAATGCACCCTATGTGCTGTACGCGCCTTTGTGTAACTGTGGGACGTTTATAGGCCGTTTTACGTTGGCAATATAATATGAAACATATCGTGAATTTTTGTAGATATATGAACAAAAAGTTTTGGCGAAGCGGGATACGAGCCTGCATTTTCCGGTTTCATAATAAATTCAACAAATTAATTGAGAAGGTTTTTCGAAACTTTGGGCGGTTACAAACACATTCAGGTTCCTTACATCATATTATTAAGCACTAGCGTCCCGGCCCTGCTTCGCGCGGGTACAATGTATTATACATATAAACCTTCCTCTTGAATCACTCTATCTAGTTAAAAAATGACATCCAGATCCGTTGCGTAGTTTTAAAGATCAAGCATACCTACATAAGGACAGACAGACAGCGGAAGACTTTGTTTTATATCATGTAGTGAAGATGTACTTTCCGGCAGGTTTACGACGGACTGGACTTCCTTTCTTCCCTTCTCGTTTTACCGCCAAGTGTTGGCTAGGATTTTTACGACTACCTACCGGACGCCATCACTACTTGGGAATGAACGCCCATATCATGCCCAACATCCTGTGGGTCACACAAATACCTGTCCCGTGCGTTAGTCGAACCCACGACCAAGACCCCGGCATCCGATTCATCGCGAAGGCTGTTACGGAAAAATTCAAAATTTTCAACCGAAAGACGGTTTAGACGCTGACGCCAGACAGCGTTTACCGCAGAACTAGTAGCAAACTTGCGCTGCTTTGATTTCGGTATTCGAAATCTCTCCGCTCCGAGCTCTAATCACTGAGCTACGTCCGCCCTCCATTAGTGTAGCGAGTCGTTAATTGCTCGGTATGCCCCTTCGGAGCATCGTCCCACACGAAATTCACCAATAACTAATTGCGCTAAAGGTTCACGCACGATCACCCGGAACGCCGGTTCGGTCCCCGGCGAGTCGAGAACTGGCACCGATAAATTTCCCGCCCTCCGTAAGTTGAAGTATAAAGCAAGGATCCGATTTCGTTGATTCGCGATCTAGATCCGTGAAAGTGTAGGAACACAAGTCCATTTTTTATTGACGAAAAACAAAACGGACTTCATATATCTCGCTCTGTATTCATTTTATAATTGATTTTCAGGAGTTCCCTAAATATCTCCGAAGTCAAAGATCGAATACCAATGAAATGAATATATAAAATGAAAATCGTTTCACTCAATCGAAAGTTCAGAGGTCACAAAAATACAGTCGACAACAAGTCGGTTGACAAATAATTTGTTGGTGCAGGCCGATTTGAATTCAGTTTGCTCGAGTATACTAAAAGCATACTTGATATAATGAGGGAAACTCGTCACCAATACTGACTCATTCTTAACGATATAAGAGCTTAATTTAAACTCTTTTGTATGCAAACATAGTGGTATCTTAAAAAGAACCTAGACCTTTTGGTGTCAGAACATACCGATCTGTGACGTCACGTTATAACTATGCACCTGCCCCCTCTCCCCCCTTCCTCGTTTGTTTCAAGCAATGCAGCGCTATCCAAACACGCCAATCGTGAGCCTCCCTACTCCGGTCAACTCCCGGCGAGTCGCACGCGATACCAGCCCTCAAGGCGGTGGGTTAAGGGCGAGAATCGCGCGACACGGGCGCGATTTGATCAGCTGGACATACCGTGGTACGCGACGAGTTGTACCAGCTGAAAAAACACTCTGATCGAGTAAGCGCTGGCAACTCTTCAGTGTATTAACCGCGCATTAGTGACGGTGGCTCGGCGCCGGTTGTCCGATTCACGGCGATAAAAACTATGCAGAATAAGAGAGCAACGTTTGGCATCGCATCGAGTACGATCATAACGGCCGTTTTCGATAACGTATCTAAGATTACGGATAGTTCGCTGTCACCAATTATCAGTCAGAGGGTGTCAGTCTTTAATTTGCTTTTATAAGTGTTTTCGATTTATAATCCATTCGAATTATAACCCACGAACCAACCAATTTATAATTAGAGTGTTCTCTTATTACGTGCTCAGCGGTGAAGGAAAACATCGTGAGGAAACCTGAATTGAACCTAAGAACGGCTGAACGTAAACCGACGAGAAATAGTAGCTTGGGTGCAATGTATCATATACTAGCTGCTGACCGCGACTACGTCTGCGTAGAATAGGCTGAAGGCGTAACATTCAGACCGAAAAATAGGTATACATAAAAATATGTATATATATTGTAGCCTGTCTTATTCTGATGTATAAGCTATATTATTGTAAAGTTTCATTAAAATTCTTTCAGTAGTATTTGCGTGAAAGAGTAAAAAACATCAATCCATACATACAAACTTTCGCCTTTATAATATTAGTAAGGATATAAAACTTCCTATTCCTTCTATCTATTTAAAAAAAACGCATCAAGATCCGTTGCGTAGTTTTAAAGATCTAAGCTTACATAGGGACAGACAGACAGCGGGACGACTTTGTTTTATACTATGTAGTGAAGCTGGCAAGCTGGCTGAACTGCCACCCGTAAGGCTGCAGACGCGTACAGCCTTTCAAAAACGTAAGCCCCATTTACCACACTCAGCAGACGAAACGTAAAAGTGTGATACTTCCAATTATCGCCGACCCTGAGAGTCCTTTGAGGCAAGCCCTAGATTGGAATCCCCAAGGAAAGCGTGAGCGTGGCCGTCCTAAGCAAACCTGGCGGCGGACGATCATCGCAGATGCGAAGAGCATAGGGAAGACGTGGAGCGAACTGAAGCGAGAAGCTCAAGACCTAACGGGATGGCGACGCACTGTGGAAGCCCGTTGCCCCATCTAGGGGAAACAGGACCATAAGTCAAGTCTCTGGGAGTCGGCGGTGCTTCCCCGGACGAGTCTACCCATTCGTAGAACAGAGCAAGCTGCTGCGTGGCCGTACCACAGAAAATAATCCACTCAGGGTCTCAATTCTCACTAATATTATAAACGCGAAAGTTTGTATGTATGGATGGATGTTTGTTGCTCTTTCAAGCAAAACCTACTGAATAGATTTTAATGAAACTTTACAATAATACAGCTTATACATCAGAATAACACATAGGCTGTAACTTATAAAGATACTGTGTATTGTCCAAAATGTAGGTAGTGATAAGTGTTATCTAAGTAGGAAAATATTCAGCCATCTGCGAGATGTTCCGGTGTAAAATAAAAATTTCACTGTTGATTCCCTATGGCCGTGCGGGCTAGGGTGCGGTTAACAGCCAGTTTTACCATACTGCTATGCGCTGGCCATAACACCTATCATGGTACATGACATACCACAATGGCCATCGAGCATCGGCGAAGCCACTGGCAATGCTTCTGTGCCGCACGCGACTGGCTCCATTGTCTGAACAGGCGACGCGATAAAAAAAAGAGGACGTCTTTTAATAATCTATGCGCAGAAAACGGCGGCTTTTTTTTTCGACAAAGCGCGCGATAATCAAACGGGTTATTGTTTAACAACGCAGGTAAAGTTTCCTTTTCATTTTCTTTTTCTATCACTATTCGCTTGTATATATAATAACGACTTGGACATTCACGTAGGTCTGACTACAATACCTGGATACTGTAAATATTCCTACTCTTAGGAAACGATGTTACGGTGGTAGGGCCACGCAGAAGCCTCGGCTGTTGCACGAATGGACAGGCTCATCCGGGTAAGTACCACGACCTCACAGAAGACCGGCGTAAAATGGAAGTATAATACTTTCGCATTTTGTCTGATAAGTGAGGTGGCCGGAGCCCAATTTTCAAAAGGTTGTCAACGCATCTGTAACCCTCGGGTGTAGCAGATGTCCATGGGCGACGGTATTCACTTAACATCAGGTGAACCGTCTGCTCGCTTGGCAACTTTTCACATATAAAAAAAACGATGTAAAAATTTTTCGTATCGAAATATGTCTTATTAGCAATAGATTATGTTGAAAAAATGTGTATCATATAACATGATTACGACTAGGTGGTCCAAAAGAAAAATAAATCAGGCATTTTAATATCCCTACCCACCGTCTTTCCAAAGTTACGTCTCTGGTTCTCAGTTGTAACTTTCAAATTAAAAAAAAAAACATTAAAATCTAAATGAAAACGAAAAAAAAAAAAGGTCACGAAAGCCCAAGTAAGTCGGTGTTGAAAGTATGAAAGTGTATTATTGAAATGAAATAATTCTTTAGTTTAATATATACATTATACAAATTTACATACAGGTAAAGTCAATTAATGGGTGTACGAATAATTATTTGGCTCATGCATATTTTAAAATAGCAATTATTATTTCTTATCACTAGTGACTTCAGTCTATTGCGGTGGCATGGCAATAGTCACGGTGACGTCCAAAATTCTATCAACATGGTCATTCTTCACAGGAATTTGTATAAGGGTACATGTACCAGTTTAGAGTCATTACATTATATTGTACTCAGTACTTCAAATGTGTGGAAAATTTCATATCATAATGACATCTGGAAGAGGGCACATATTTAACGTTATTACACTGAAATTTGTAGATATGAGTTAGAAGAAAAGTAGGAGACCCCCACTAGATGGATGACCCGTGCATATAAAAAAAAGGAAGTCGATGGATGCAGGTAGCTCAGGATATTTGACATGTTATGAGCACGTCATGAGAAGAGATGAGTTATGGCGGTGTGTCGGAAGATTGCACCGGTGTTAAAAGAATCAGACGGGGAGACAGATGTAGTGTAAGCTTTTAGTGGCTCTTAAGTACTAGTTTTGACCGGGACTGCGACATACGCCTGCCGATTCAGAGGAGTCCCCCTGCCGCTTCTCTGATTCGGTGAGATCACTGATTTCCCAGGTAAGAAGGGATGAAAGTGGTGTAAATAGAAGAGGGTAGGTATGAGTGTGAAGGGCGTGGACTAGAGGAAATCCAAGAAAAGGGACGGACTGAGTGAAGAACGATATGCGTGTGAAAGAGTTAGTTTCTGAGATGATGACGATTGACGGAGGAAAGTTGAATAGGACAGGTTATGCCAACCGCACCTAATGTGCGATGAAGGCAGATAGAAGAAGTCATTGATAAAGATACGCATACAAATTAAGCTACCCCACTAAATTATAATGAAGCGCTAAGGTACGATTACAAAGTGTTTAAAATGCAAATCAAACGATTTTTAAAACATTCGCGCTTGACTTCATTTAAAAAGAACTGTAAGCGAATGTTTTGTGGTCGATACGTGCGACATATATGTTTTAATGGCCTCTTATTGTCTACGTGACTTTGTAGTCGTGATCAAGCAAGGGTATTGGAAATATGCCGTGAAGATATGGCTTTGCGAATGCACTTAATTACCGCTTCTCACACATGAACTTCAAATGAATATCGACAAACCATCGTTACTTTGCCAACATTTAAGAAAGTGGCCCTAGGTTCACTTAATCACCAAAAGAAGCCGTAAGTACAATATTATAATACAGAATCTCAAACCAACTAAATTACCGCGGTCAAAACCCCGATGCTGCTCGCATTAAAATACATTTCATTCTTTTTAGTTTTTATTTGTAAAGCTGTGTTACATTTTAACGTTCATAATAGTTTGAAGTAAGAGATAAAACTAGGTTTTCACTCTTGCTCTTGACTTCAGTATTATAGACTTTAGAGGTTGATTGATCTTGGGGCTTTTGTATGTTGGATCCCATTCGTAGCACCATAAAATCTAGTCAAAAGGTTCTGCCATCGAATCTAACCAACAACCTTACGTGCTGCAAGTCTTATTGGCCATAGGGGTGGTTATGGATTCCTACTATACTACTTCCTGGTATAGTAGATCCATTCAATTGGATGTACAAATGAGAAAACGGTTGTTTTTAACTTTATTGCACATAGTAATCCATAACTAACCAAATTTTTCTAAAGCAGGGTACTATGTTTCATCAAGAACATTATAACATTCGCTACGTGAACTAGTTATGTGGACGATTTGTCGTAACTTATATGATGCCATACTTAGATTACCACTGAACGGGAAAAGCGGGCTTTTTATGTGTAAATTGAGAGACATTATGTAACTTAATTGTCTGCGTATACCATAACATGGTACATACTTATACCAGGAATGCCGAACGAAGGGAATAGAGATATCAACAAGAGCATCTTTGAACTCAAGGCTTCGTTAATAGATTGGGGATGTTATTTGTGCATCAAATTTTTGGTCACAATCTACTCGAAGGCAATTTTTAACTTACGCGATACCAGTCGGCTAACTAGTCACTATTTCTCAGATCTGGGTGTCAGGTTCACGTGCGTCAGTGACAACCAAAACTGCTACGTAGCCCTTTTATGCCATTGATTTAGACAAATCTATCATATTTATTTAAAACTGGTGAATCCAACAACAGAAGACTGTTGAATGCATCCAAAAAAAAAACCAGATATAGCCGAGGTTGTAAAACTTGAATTATTTATTACACATGAGAATCCGTGAAATGCTCCAAGGGAAATTTATATTAGCGAAGAGCGAATAAATAACTGGGAAGAACAAATACTCCTTGTACATTAGTTATATATTGAAAAAGTTAACTTGGAAGTTTCGGTTATCGTAAACGATCCTTGAAAAAAAATATGTTTGAGTATGAATGAGGTAGACCTACAGTGAGAGCCTATTTCATTGAGGATTATTAAAAAGTAAAATATCAACCTCTAAATATCGATAGAAAATACGGTAATGATCATAATTTTAAGAAAGCCATGGCAGCCAGTTTATTATAAAATATAACTTTAAACTGATACATTATCAGAACGAAGATATTTGATGGTGACGCTTTTTAATTGCAGACATTCCGCAAGTTAAAAAGCGTTAATTTGAGACAATTCTAATAAACGTTAGATGTTGTAACATCATGAAAAGGAATTTATGACTGCGATTTCTGATCGATTTTTTCTTTATAATGATCAATTTTGGGTACCGGTGGTAGATAAATACATCGTGAGTATTCGAAACAGAGTAAATTAATTTACTTCAACTTAACTTTAAACGAAAGCCGTGATAGCTCAGTGTTCGGGCGATCGCCTTTAATTCGCCTGAGTTCGATCCCCGGTGCCGGCACCAATGAAGTTTTTAACTTATCACGTGCTCCGCGGCGAAGGAAAACATCGTGAGGAAACTCTGTATAGAGGAGGCCTTTGCCCAGCAGTTGGACATGTATAGGCTGTTACTTTAACTTTTCTACTTTTTGACTTTAAACCTTTTTAGCCACTGTAGTATTACCATCCCTAGATTTTGACACTAACTAATTGACTGATACTGAATTGTATACTAGTCCATTTTTAAACTCTTAATAAAATGGTATATGGAGCTTCCTTTCGAATTAAGAAAACGTTTCTAGAATGCTCTACTTGACTTTACCTTCCGTAAGCTTAAAGTTTACCATAGACTGGATTCTTCGCACGGGGTACTGTTACGAACTCAACGAAGGCGAGGGAAGAAAACATACACCTTCGAGTTTACTCGTACCGAGAGCACGTTTCGACGGCGCTCTGTGTAAACTATAAGCGAATAAAGAAAAAAAAAATAGATAAGAACTCCTTCGAGCTCGGTCCCAAAGCGGGGGTGATTATATGTGGGCTCCAAGTAAAGTACACCTTCGCTATCAGACGACGAAAACTGTTCACACTTGGCCCGCCAAAACGAGCCTTATTGCCGTAGACATAGAAACGATAACGGCTAGATACATCCCACACCGGCCGCGACTAAATTACACGCTAAAACCATTGACTAATATTACTTTAGTTACATTACGGCACAAATGTGATGTCACGAGCTAGATGAGTCAGAGAAAAATAATGGCCGTCGATAAAAAGAGGATTAGAAAAAAAATTGTTGGAAAAGGACAAGAACTCACCAGCAGCGGATATCCCGTGGAACGGCCGCGAACCCGCTCCGATCTACGGCACCGGAGTTCGAAATTCGAACTCTCGCACCGCCAGGGAGGACGACCGCGCCGTGGGACGGTTCGAACGCGACTGAAGCGTTGAGGCGGCGCCTGCGCTTACAGAGCTACACGCCTTGACGCACACAAGTGGGGGGGGCGCCGTGTTCGTACGTATGTGTGTGCGCGCACGCGTCGGAGCCTTCATGGAAATGCGGTCCAACTGGCGGCTATGTATAATGTAGCGCCTTAATACGGTCTTTTAATACGTTCGCATGTTAATTATTTACTTTGGCCCGATTACAATGAGACGTTACGGTCGAGCGGAGCGCGTCGCCGCGTTTCGTAGGAGTGTTTAAAAAATTTAGTGTTCCATTTTCGAATTTAGGCGCCAGACTGAAGTCGACCGCGTCTTTCCTACTTCCTTAGTCGAATGCAACGCTAGAATTGAACAAAGCAGTAATAACTACATAGTATAAAACAAAGTCGTCCCGCTGTCTGTCTGTCTCCGTCTATGCTTAGATCTTTTTTTACTAAATAGAGTGATTCAAGAAGAAGGTTAAAATGTATAATACACTGCACCCGTGAGAAGCCGGGGCGGGTCGCCAGTATCATATACCGGACGGTAGCAGTTAGGCTCCAACCATTTCCTATTCACAACGACGTTAATAAGACTCTACTGGTAGAGTCTTATTAGAGACTCAACCAGTAGAGTGTGAATGCCTCCTAACAAACACAGAATTTCGCATATAAGAACACGCATTTCTCTAATATAATTGTAACTTAAACAATAAACTCTGAAGTCAACTTAAATAGGGCAATGAACCGCTCATTGCAAAAAATATAAGGTTTATCAGAGCTTTATTTACTTGTGATCAATGGTATTAATAGACGCTAAATGAACAGGTTTTATATATTATCTTATATCGATATAACTTAAATATAAGTTATATTGATATAAGTGATATAACTTGACTGGGTACCTTTAAACAGGTGTGTTCAATGTGTGGCAATTGTTAAGCATTAGTTTCTAATAATTTAATGGACATAATATTAATACTTTTAACGACTTTAAATACTTTTAAACAACTTACAAAAAGTTAGATTAACAGACAGTATTTCCGACTGCTGGGCAAAGACCTCCTCTGTACACAGGCCATAGTCCACCACGCGACCGCAAGTTTAACAACAATTTAACTGGTTTGTTTCCCAAGAAGGCTTGACAGCCTGAAAGTGAGGAAGGCAGCCGATCTTAAACAACCATATTTTTACTAACGAAAAACAAAACCGACTCTATCTCGCTTTATGTTCATTTTATAATTGATTTTCAGGAGTCCCCTTATCTCTGGAGCACAAGATCCAATACATTATATATACAATAAATTACCACCTGAGAAGCACGAGCTTTCAAATAAAAAAGAATCATCAAAATCGATTCACTGAGTCAAAAGTTCTGAGGTAACAAACATAAAAAAAAATACAGTCAAATTGAGAAACTTTTGAAGTCTGTTAAATAGGCTGCACTTCGGATATTTTTTTTTCTCAAGTTTTTGCTATTGTCATTTGAAACTAAACAGACGAATGAAAAACAACCCGACTAAATCGACTAAATCGATTCACCGGGATTCGAACTGGGAACGACACGATCTAATAAAGGCGAGCGGCCGGTCAATGGGGTAATTAGCCGAGGTTATAGCTCTAATGTCCAGATGAATTCAATAGAAGTTTGTGGCTGAGGCTTGAGTTCTTAATTGGTCTCAATTATTCAAACGAGAGTGCAATTATAAATACAAAAATATGCCTGTTACCTTCGCGAGCCGCGGCGGCTTAACGGATTCTGATGCAATTCAGAGTTGTAACAGCTGTGCACATAAAATAGGTAGAGATTCGGGTATTTCGATCGCTTTGCTGCATACATCGCAGCGTTCTAGTTTACATTTTAAGCTTAAATCCTATTTTCACTAAATTAATATTTAAAAAAAACTGTGGTAGGGCCGCGCAGGAGCCTCGACTGTTGCACGAATGGGCAGGCTCGTCCGGGGACAGAGGACCGGCTCACTGAGGACCGGCGTAAATTGGAAGTATAATAAAATAAATACTTTCGCATTTCATCTGGTGAGCGAGGTAGCCGGAGCCCAATTTTCAATACGTTGTCGACGCATCTGCAACCCTCGGGTGTAGCAGATGTCCATGGGCGGCGGTATTCACTTACCTCCGGTTGAACAGACAGCTCGCTTGCCGCCTTACTACATAAAAAAGACGGCGTAAGTAATTTTTTTAACTCGTAATTAATTAAACGCACAAATAAAATACCTCTGGATGCACCTGACGATTTGCATACGTTCATCGTATTCCGACGGATGTCACCCTAAAGGTTCGATTTTTTTCCAATTCCAAATCAAGATCGACGCTCTAACGACCGGTTTGACCTATGTTAATTTAACACAGGGAACATATTCCGAATACATTATAGGTCTTCGATTTTATCCATCCGGCATTGTCTACGCAGATAAAATCGGAACCGAAACAACAAATAGCCGAAACGAGACTTACGCGGGGCAAAAGGGTAACGATATGAGAATTAGGGGCGAACGTGGTGGTAAAATTAAAAAAAAAAAAAATTGTCGATTTAAAAAATCGACACACGCTGGAATTCGATCCTGTGACGGATGGCGAAAATCAGAGCGTCTCAACCCTTCCGGCTAACCACTACACCGCCGGCTCCGTTTGCTCTTAGTATCCTGAACCCACCACGACCCAGAGTTCTTGGCACAGGAAAGGTTGAAAGAAATTCTTTCCAGCGAGAGCAGCCGATACACGAGCGGGCGGTTCACCTGATGTCACAAAATCATCGCTATCATCGCGCTGATACATCCAAGCTTTGCTTCCAGCCTTTGCTACAGAGTAAACCTACCGGACTTCACCGCTACGTATACTTCGTCGACTCATTCGTGATGCACAAACGAGTTAGTTTTGATTTTTAACCGACTTCAAAAAAGGAGGAGGTTTCTCAATTCGACCGTATATATTTTTAATTTTTTTATGTGTGTTCGGGGATAACTTCGTTATTTATAAACCTATAAAGACACAGATATCCCAAGTGTGGTACCATGATAAGGAAACCCAGATCTGATGATGGCATCCCAGAGAAATCGAGGGCAATCCACAAATGTTATAGATGTTAACAATGTTTCTAGTTTCCTGTTTGAAGTCGGTTTTTTTTTGTTTAAAATTATTTTTTTAAGGATAAAGGAGGCAAACGTTCAAGCGGAAGCGCCGCCCAAGGACACTTGCAACATCGGTTGGGTCACAATAGCGTAGCCGGCCTTCGAGGTAGGAGTAGGCTCTCGTGCAACAGAACGGAAGCCGCTGTAAGACTTCGCTACAATAAAATAGAATTTTCCTCTATACGAGAATAGCAAGCTGAAGTGGCGATGGGCCGGCCGTATAGCTCGTAGAACCGATAACCGATAGGGGAGAAACGTTCTTGAGTGGCTGCCTCGTACTGGCCATCGCAGTGTGGGACGACCCACCACTAGATGGAGTGACGACCTGTGCAAATGTGCGGGAAGTCGATAGATGCAGGTGGCTCAGGATCGTGCTTCGTGGCAGTCTGCGAGGGAGGTCTATGTTCAGCAGTGGACTCAAACAGGCTGAAATGATCATGATGATGGTAAGTTTTAGCACCTTTTTTACATACAAAAGGTTCCTATGATTTAAGTTTAAGTCCCTTTTTTACATACAAACAAACGGTACATACCTGGGCACCATACGCCTCGACCGCCCGACTCTGCTACCAACAAAGCACCGATAGCGTTATCGGCCACTTTTATACGTAACATTATCGGCGATCAATACATTTATCTAGCTTCCCGCTACCCCGGCAACCGGGGTCCCGTTCAATCTAACACCGGCGTGCAATTCACGCCCCCCATTTATTGGAGAGTTGGCGTCCTAACACTTAATTTTTTTTTATGTGAGAAATTAGCTGTCCTTGGCAACCTCACTAACGACCTCCAGTGAAATATTCTCAACACTCTACATAATTAGATTACAAAAAAAATCTTCAAAAATAATATCATTCAAATGCAGGATAGAGGAAATTTAAACTTGGGATTACGGGGATTAGGGATCACGGACACCAGTAATTCTTTAATGAAGTATTTTTAACAATAAAACATCGTGAGTGTAGGCTACAGGACAAAAGAATATTATATAATCAACCCTTACTTTTAATTAATAGACATAAACCATTGTTTATGACTGTGCACTTGCATGGTTGAATAAGGCAATCTACGAAGAAGGAAAGAGAAAAATATATAAACGATACAACAATTAATTCCATCGAAATTGTTTGCGTACCAATGTCACTCTTTCATTTAGTTAAGTGTCAACTTTTGGTAAGTGTTGTGACCGTTAAATGTAATATATTGTATGTTAAATATATACGTTATCAACAAATCGCTAAGCACATCGGTCGATAGCGTATATATTGAATAAAACGTTATGGCATACAGAATTAACTATGTACTACTACCCTACTTAAACGTATTCCTAATCGAACCAACATAGTATTGCTGTGGCCACGCAGCAATTTCTGCTGTTGCACGAATGGCTGCCCAATCGTGCAACTCGTCCGGGGTAACATTTTTTTACAATTTTTGTCTGTCTGTCTGTTTTTTCCGACTAATCTCTGAAAGGGCTTGACCGATTTCGACGGGACTTTCACTGGCAGATAGCTGATATAATAAGGAGTAACATAAATTATTACTAATACTAACTACTAGTCGAGTTTAGAATAAGGTCAAACGATTCACCTCAGATTGTAGAGCGGCCTGCAGTTCGTCGTTCAGAGCTTTCAGCGCCGAAATCTGTGAAGGGAACAGACAGAGGTAAATTTTTAACGAAGACTCGCTGGCTTTCTCCAGATATAGCATGAACCCAAAGGTTAATAACAAGTCTATATTTTTATTAGCGAAAAACAAAACCGACTTATAACAAATATCTCGCTCTGTATCCATTTTATAATTGATTTTCAGGAGTTCCCCAAGTATCTCCGGAGCCCAAGGTCCAATATCAATGAAATATGGGACCACATGGAAAGCACCAATCGAAAGTTTTGAGGTAACAAGCATAAAAAAAATACAGCCGAATTGAGAACCTCCTCCTCCAAGTCGGTTGAAAAGATATTCAACTATTTAAACTCTGAAATAACCTAAGGCGTAGCCTATGGTTCGGTGCACTCCAATATACCGTTTGTTAATACCAAAGCTTTAAATTAAGATCCGTAATAATACATTATTTAGACGCTCTTTTTAAGTAAGTACACGTGAGCAATTCAACTTTGAATCGCGGAGTGGGCACGAATGTAATCGTTCACTTCAGGTGCTGATATTTTAAGTAAAAGGAAAACGTCGCAAAGAAATATGCTTTTCTTCGACATAATAAAAAAGGGCTATCTCTGTTAAGACGAGCTTTTTAGGGTTCCGTACCCAAAGGGCAAAACGGGACCCTATTACTAACTTCAGACTTCTTACAGACTTCTCTGTCTGTCTGTTTGTCCGTCTTTCACCAGGCTATATCTCATGAACCGTGATAGTTCGACACTTGAATTTTTCGCTGATGATGTATTTCTGTTGCCGCTATAACAAAATAAAAACGGAATGAAAAAATATTTAGTGGCGCTCCCATACAACAGACAAGATTTTGTTTTGCTGTTTTATAGATAATGTACGGAACACTTCATACGCGAGTCCGACTCGCACTTGACCGGTTTTTTTTTATTTTATTACAAAAGTAACAGGCCTGGATGGACTAAAGTGACTAAGTGTGTGTATCGGCCGCGAATGTCGAAGACGTGGGTTCGATTCTCACAGCGGCGACAATCTTTTCGTACTTTCTCTACAAATTTAAATGTTTTAAAGACAAATATTAAATTTTGTAGAAAATCTTAAGTGCAGAGATTTGCACTATAAAAATTAGAAAAATTCTAAAAAGGACGAATAGTTTTTCGCCGCTGCGGGATCGAACCCACGCCTTCCGGGTGCCTTGCCCAGGCGCTTTAACAACTAATCTAAACGGCTCATTACTACACCGACGAAAATCTGAACACCTTTTATGTACTGTAAGGAAAATTTGAGTAAAAACACTTTAAAAAATGTTACGATCAAGAAATACGTCCGTTACAGTTAGATTAGCGAACCAGCAGAGTTTCCGCCCCACTCGAGTGCTAACGAACAATTGATTTCCCTGTTTTTTTTTTTTTGGGCTGGATGAGCCACTGTTGGCCTTAGGGGCCTTTACAGTTCCGACGGGCTTGAGGTGGCCTGAACCTCAGGCTAGCCTGAACCTCGGGTGATTTACCTGATAGAGGTCCATCTTTATATATATATATAAAGATGGAACTTTATATACACAGTATAATGTCTTATGGCATTCTACTTTGGGGAAATGCAGCCGACATAAATAAACTATTTTCATCCTGCAAAAGAGAGCTATTCGAGCGGTTTATAACCTGGGCCCCAAAGATTCACTAAGAAACCTGTTTAAAGAAATAAAAATATTGACTGTAGCTTCTCAGTACATACTTGCTAATGTTATGTATGTCCACAAAAATAAGAATGACTTAATAAGATTTAGTAATGTGCATGATGTAAATACTAGGAACAAGCATAAATTAGTTCTACCCTCAACTAGATTGCGTAGAATAAGTAAATCTTTTATGGGACAATGTATACGCTTTTACAAAAAAATCCCAGAAAACGTTCAAAATGAATCCGTTGCTAAATTCAAAAAACTTGTAAAGGAACGTTTGTGTGTTAATGGCTATTATAGTATTAGTGATTATATGAATGATAACACACTCTGGAAATGAATTGATCGCTCCAGGCTCTTTCAAGTGGAATTTAATAATTGTACACATATTTGTAATTTTTTTGGCAAGTAAAAAAAAAATGTCCCGCTGAGTTTTTTACGCCGGTTCTTCTCAGGTCAGGCTTACCTTCCGAACCGGTGGTAGAGTTTTTTGACTATCAATAAGTAAGTGAATGTTTCTATATTGAATAAAGATATTTGACTTTGATTTTGACTTTGACTGTATAGATGACGGTAGCTTGTCTATCGGAACCATAGACTACAACCATGAACCACAGACCATAACCATAACCATTTGGCCATCTCTTACAGTACATTCTTTTTTCGCATCTCAAGCAAAAGATCTTGGTGCGTCTATTGTAATATCCATTACAGCATACAAACAATTGCAAACATCGTTTTACAACGATAATTCGAACGAGAGATGACACCATTGCTATATTGTGTAAACTAGACTTTTACAGTACTAATCTCTGCACTTACGATGATTTTTACAAATTTTAAAGTTTCACATTAAGCGCAGAGATTAGCACTATAAAAAAATACGGGTTGCACTCCGGGAGTGTCGGCAGAAGTGAAACTTATTTCGACGCGTTAGACATTTTTTAAATGGGTACTAGGGTTATTGGGTTATGAATTGCATTATATTTATGAATTGTTTTTTTTTTATTAATTATAAGAAACTTTAAAATACATTTAATATACTTTTATGAATCATCGTTAACAATTTCGACAACTCTTGTATCATCATCATTATCATTAAAATTATTACAATCTAAAATAGAAACTATAGGTTACTAAAATAGAAAATAAACAATTTTCATTCGCAGTTATTTAAACATCTCGTGAATACCGCATCAATTGTAAAATCAAATTCTCACACACTATAGCTGCGTCTCGTGACAGTCTCGCGAGTCCAGAGATTTTATCTCATCTAAAAATATGCGTACCGCGCTAAAAGAAGTTTTCACTTCAAAATTTAATTTCAGGCTAGAAGAATGAATTAATGAATCAATGTCTTTATTGCCAGAATATCGTAGTACATTGTGATCTTAAAATATATTTGGTGCAACATATTCAGCTGACTTCAGCATGCAATTGTCAATTTGATATAATATTATTTACATTAAAGAAGGGCGCAAAGCTAATGAGGCGCCTATATAAAACATGGGAAGGCCCAAGAAGGCCCACATAACATAAACATAGCTGAAAACAAAAACAAACACACCGGAAAGCCGATGCAACGATCATTATAAATTTCTAGTGACAAACGAGGCGTTTGACGCACGGTGGAAAATGGCGTGGGTTCACCAAGCTGTTAAATATTGGAGGGACAGTCCCGACGATTGTTACGGCGAATTTAATAGAATGTGTTTAGGACACACTTTTACACAACGTTCTCTATTTCTGTCGGTATTAGATAACTGATAAACATTATTAAACATACCTTTCTTTTGTAAATAAATATATATTATACATGTAGAAACACCCAGACAATGGAAAAACACTATGTTAATGGCACAAGCCGTAGGTTCACTACCCAGTACGCCGATGGCTCCAAAAACTAGAGTGGAAGGGAAGAAGAAAGAAAACTACTTTTCACCATGAAAAGTGTGGACTCGTAGAAAATGCCATTAGGCATTAAGTCCGCTTGTAGTAAGCCTTAGCCTGAGGTTTAAATAGATAATTAAATAAAACATAGACCCTTTCTTAAATCTTACCTTGATATTTTTTTATTTAGAACCGACTATACTGTTATTCACGCTCCTATAACTTGTGTACATAATCTATACAATTTCGAAGAACTTCAATATGCGATCATCCTATTCAAAACTTAACTATGAATGGGCACATGAATTTTCCGCTTTCCGTCTTGGTGTACCGTTTTTAGGTAATATGCCGAGATTTTCATATGTCTCACGTATATAAAAATCCAATGAGAGCCGCAACATCCGCAGTCCAGCAAACCGTTCCGGAAACCGTGGCGCCGACAAAAAACAACTTACGAATGCGAATACATTCCTCTCTGACCTATTGGCATACGCATTTAAATCGCTACTCGATTTGAAATTCAATCGCGCGCCTTAATTATTCGTTTCCCGCGCGCGCCATTGGTCGAGCGACGCTTCCTTCGGGCTGCGACCGGTGACAAGTCGTTTTTAGCTGCCAGTTCCCGCCTTTTCGCGGGATGCACCGTTTTGTCATTTATTTGGCGTTCGTGTCAGTTTTTTTTTTTCGCAACGCATAATTGAATAGTTATGAAGTCTCACTGATCTACGGGAATAATTATTACATATATTAATAAAACTACTTTAAGATTTAAATCAGTTCGCTTTCTAAAATAAAAAAAGAGTAATTTATTCTCGGATTAAAATTAAAAATTAACGGCCATAAAAGTATTTTTACTTGAATATGAAAAAAAACTTAACAGTGTCGGATGTAGTTATTATCTTTATTCCATATAGAAGCATTACACTTATTGATTGTCAAAAACCGGCGAAAGAAACTCAGCGGGACATATTTTTTACCAATTTTACCAATTTTAAAATATATTAAAATCCACTTAAAAGAGCCTGGAGCGATCAATTTATTTCCAGTGTGTGTTATCATAATTTTTAACATACGAACGTTCCTTTACAATTTTTTTTTTTAATTTAGCGACTGATTCATTTCGAACGGTTTCTGGGATTTCGTTGTAAAAACGTACACATTGTCCCGTAGAAGATTCACTTATTCTGCGTAGTTTAGTTGTGCGTAAGAATCAATTTATGTTTGTTCCCATTATTTATATGATGAACATTACTATGTCTTGAAAATTCATTCTTATTATTATGGAGATACATAAAATTTTCACGTATGTACTGAAAAGCTAAAGTTAATATTTTTATTTCTTTGAATACTTTTCTTAGTAATTCTTTGGGGCTCAGGTATATATGTATACATATATAGACTTGTCGAATAGCTCTTTTTTGGAGGATGTAAATTGCGTTTCTGTCGG